ACGATTTAAAATATTTCCAATCAAGGTACTTAATATCTGCACTAAGGAAAAAAAGGCTTAATACCATTTTAAAATATACTGCAAAAAGCTACGATTCTTAAGATTTCGATTCAATTCGGAAAATGATGATTCGAACAAGCAACTCAAATAAATAAAATAGAGATAAAATAGCAACCATTTCAATGAGGTGTAAAACTTGAATTCAATTCTTGAAATTTCTATTTCTGAGTTATGACATTCTCTTTGTATTGGAAATGGTTTTTTGAGGTTAGGTGTTTTATTACAAGTTATTAAATAATTAAAGCTAATTTTATTGAAATTCAAATTGCAATATATTTAGCTTATTTGCCATTCTAACATTTTCTACGAATAATCAAAGCAGCAAGCCAAGCAAAATAAAATGGCATACATGCAGTAAGCAATGTATTAATTAATAAGTAAACATGCAAATAATTAAATTAAAGTAAAAGAGAAATCAAGCTAATAACAGCTGGGAGCAAAAAAGGCATTTGTGTGTACTGGTGTAGGTGCTGTTATTCATAGTGTTCAGGTAACTTTTCTTGTACTTGTTTATATTTATGTATGTCTTTTTGCTAGATTTTTCAGTTTGATTGGATATGTGATATAAATGCTCAAGTGGTTTATTTAAGTTTATACTAGCTTTTATGTTTCTTTTTTGATATTTATGGTTTGCTTTTCTAAACATGTCTATGTTTTCATATAAAAGTGGAGATGTAAAGATTTCTTTAAAAAAATGTCTTACAATAATTTTTTTTAGATATGGTGTTTATGATGTAAATATTATTTTATAAATTATGATTTTAAACTTGTGTTTAAAATTTTTTTTTAATTGTGATTTTTTATTTAATATCTATGGTAGGTAATCAAAGAGCAAAAATAAGGTTCAAATATCAAATATGAAGAGGGCGGATATATTTTGGTGGCTTTTGTCAAACAAAATATAAATTAAATTTGTTTGTAACTTAGCAAACTTAAGGTAAATATTCAAGTTATTGATATAAAAAGCTGGAATAAGATTTCGCATCTYAAAATAAGTGCTTCTTTTCTAATCAGAAACTATTTTCGCAACGTAGTAAATGTTTGCACATATAATCCATTTTTTTATGAATATAACGTGCAATTGAATTGATCCTCTGACACATAAACGGCACTACTAGAATAGAATACATATAATTCTTGATAGATCTAACCTGCAAAAGCCGCGTATATAAATTTGACAGCTGTCGGATAATTAGTTTGTGAATTATCATTCAGAGTAAAGCCATTTTCGTTATTGTGAAAAAAAAAAAAATGAATAGTAATAAATATCGCGTCCTGATGAAAGATTTGCGTTTTGAAGGGAAAAAATACAGTTAAAGCAAAAACTTGGTTTAATGATGAGTTTCCGGACACTTCATCAGGAAAGCCAAACATCAAAGATTGGTATGTTTGGATGTGGTGAAATGAGCACCGCAGGCGGTGAACGGGCGCCCAGAATAGGTTGCTACCAATGAAAACTTCAAAAAAGTTCATTTAATGATTTTGTTTGACCAAGCCGAATCCGAAAAAAAAACGTTAAAGCAGGTCAAAAATGAAGATTATGTGGTGTGGAGTTTTTCTCGATTATCGAGGTATGGTGCACTTCGAATTGTTGCCGACCGGCCAAACAAGAACACTAAGAAATACAATTTTTCGAAATTAAGGGCCGGCAACTCTTTTTGTACAAAATTAATGCACCGTTGCATCCTGCATTGATTCTTCGTGAGTTTTCGCCAATTTTTCAATCAAAATCGTGCCGCAACCACCGTATTCGCCTAATTTAGCTCAGTGTGAAACCGATTTAAGTCATTTGTGGACATTAAATGATAATCACTACGCGCATTGAAGGTCAATCCGAAAATTGATTTCAACAACTGTTTCGAGGATTGGARAMATMGTTGGTACAAGTGTATTKCTGCTAAAGGTGATTACCTTGAGGGGAACGWCATAGATTTTGGRAAATAAATTATTATRTTGAACAAATTACAATTATGAGCAAAGTCTTACTATTTTTTGCTCATATTAGTATTAGTGTGTAACTTCATAATCCTGCGTATTTTGTGGGTATGAAAGTTATCTTCAACAATTAGATTGAGTTTATCTGGGACTAAATTGCATACTCTCTCTCACAATTTGTATTATCCCGCTAGAGTTTGTAGTGCTCTCCAATGTTCGGTTAAGTCCGAACTTAATCTTAGTCAACTTCTTGCAATATATTTTTGTTGTTTTATATTCTAATTACAGTTTTACTAAGGGGTTTATAATTTTTAATTGTTGATTTYATATTATTTATTCTCTTTGTATGACTATTATTTTTTTATGTATATAGTCTTTGTTTTATATGTTTATCAATTATTGTTTTATCGTTAGAATTTTTAATATTTACATTT